CCCCAAAACCCCAAAACCCCAAAACCCCAAAACCCCAAAACCCCATCGTTAATTTCAAATTTTGAAATAATTAAATGGATTTTCATAAATATATTTCAGATGCTTATACTCATGTCATAAAAAATTTACCAGAGGTCTTGTCAATCGATGGAAATAGGAGAAATTCCAGCACAGAGATGAATCAGAGGAGGTATCTAAACATAGAGGTCCATAAGTGCCCTCAAAAATAACCCTCCTGTAGAGAATAGGTCTTCTCTGAATTCAATGCCTGTTAGTGAGGCTAACTATCATGCAAATCTTCATAGGAACCCCTACCAAGCAAAGGTTAATTATTTCCAAACAGCTTTGAAAAATTCTAAGCCAGACTTAGGTTCAGCACATAATAAAAACTCAAGAAAAATAAAATATTCGAAAAGAACAAAAGATGAGAATAAAATTAGGGACAATATGAAGGCAAAAATCAAAAGAGTCAGTCGAGCCATGACTCCTTCAAGCCACAATATGTCCTCTACAGGGAGTCAGAGAGAAATGGCTATCTCTCACTCTGCTAAAGACCAGATCAGCATTCGAGACAATATGTATAGAAGTAATTCCAAAGAAGAGCTTCAGGATCAAATTATGAAACTAAATCGACAAATTATGAGACTTGAGGAAGGAAATAAGTGATTAGTTGAAGAAAATAGGAGATATAAGAGCATTTACTCTCAAGAGCCAAACCCCGGGAGCTTAAAGCCTCCTCACTACCAATATAAACTATCTTCTAAGAGGGGGCAGAAGAAGGATTCTTCTAGAAAGAAATTTCAAAATTCTAAGAATTTTAGCCAAACTGATAAATTTTCTGATTTTAGAAACAGCTATAGTTTCGAAAATAAGGATTGATCAAATGCAATTAATACACCAAATCCTGAAATAGAGAGCCAAACTAATACTAATAATTACATGACTATTCCTTCTTTCTCTCATGACAAGGAAAACTTAAAGACAAATGTGGACATCAATCATTTCATCCGAAAATCCACTCATAAAGAATCAGTTCTGATGCAGAAAGTGAATAAAATACTTGAAAGGAGATCTAAAAGGCATAAGTCAAAATCTAAATCTAAACGGAAGCCAAGTGAGCTGCCAGTGAATCAGACTTACAAGAGTCTGAAGCATTCCAAAAACGAGATCATTGCTAGGATAAATAATAAATATGGGAAAAGACTGTTTTAGATAATTTCTGATCTCAATTTAGCCTCACCAAAAAGGGGTTTTGGGGTTTTGGGGTTTTGGGGTTTTGGGGTTTTGGGGTTTTGGGG